GGGATCCCGTTGCAAAGGAGCTCGGGGGCAGGGTCTGGCTGGCTGGACTTGCAGAGGCCTTGAGCAGCTGTATTAGTTTGGCCTCCTGCTGGACGTGGAGAAGCCCCCAAATGCCCATGCGAATGAACCCTCCCAGGGCCAAACACTGAGGTGCTGAGCGCCCCTTCCTGCTGTGTGGCCACAGGATGGGCAGGGGCTCAGGTTGCCCCATGTGTAACCACTTTCCTCTCCCATCCCCTGTATGGCCTACACAGCTGGCTTTCCCCAGAGCTGCCTTAGGGAGCCGAGTCCCATCCGCCCCAGCCAGGGGTGCAGGAACAGCCAGGCCCACTCCCTGCTCTGCTCACACTCCAGCCTTGGGCTGTGCAATTAAACTGTTTGCATACGGCACGGGTCTCCGTCTCTGCCGCGGTCCCACGCGGAGAATCCCTGCCCAGCGCTGGAGCCCCGGGAAGGGAGGAGCGCGGCTGGTACTTACCGGGGCCATGCGGTTCCAATGCTCCTGTCCCTCTCCTCCTGGCTCTACCGCTTGATGCTCTTGCCGACGTGAGACAGGCGCAGGCCGCACCCGGCCGTGGTGCAGAGTGCTCAGTTGGGCTGCCGGTGCAGAGAGCTCTATGGCAGGGCTCGTGTCTCTGGGCCTATCAGAGTCCCAGGCCAGCAGGCAGATCTGTCCCCCAACCCCTCGGGCGCCGCATGCTGCCTGGGTTAGGCGCAGGGGCATGTGACCAGCAGTGTCCAGGAAACCTGCCTTAGGCATCCTTAGGGGCGGGCGTTTCTCCTCGGCATGTCATGGGTAGAGGCAACTGAGCGTGGCACCCGGCCACCCTTCGGCTGCTGCTGCCTGGAGCCCTTCATGCTCCTGTGTCACGCTCCGTCCCTCCGGAATGGTTGTCGAGTGGAATCTAAGCCGGCAAAGGGACGGTAGCACTTTGAAATAGCCGCTGCTCTCAGGGCAAAACTTCTGGAAGGAGCCCGTGAGACTGCAGCTAATGTGCACAGGACTCAAACCCCCAGGACGTGGTCTAGGGCGGGGTGGGCACGATATGGTTCATGGGCCAAATCTGGCCAGCCAAGCCATTTGATCAGCCTGTGGCCTGCCTTGGTGGGGGAGGGGACGAGAGACTTCGTGCGCTCCCCACCTCCATGCCCTGATTGACTTGGGGGCAGGGTAGCATAAGAAGTCTTTCCTCTCCCCGCCGCCACCAGGGGCGCACGGGCGCGTAGACAGAGCTGCCAGCTGTTCAGAACGGCCGGTGGTTCCACGTACGCGCCGTACGTGCCGCACACGCCTGGTGGCAGGGGAGCACTCACTCTCTCACCCCCTGCTGGTCTCACATGGCGCATGATGGGAAGGGCTAGTCGTTTTGAACAGCGGGCAGCTCCGTCTACGCACCGTCTGCCCCGGCGGGGAGTGAGAGACTTTGCATGCTCCCCTGCCCCCAGCTGCGATGGTTGGCCTGGGGGTAGGGGAGCACACAAACCCCGCCCCCCACCAGGGTGTGTGGTACCTAGAGGGAGCTGCCAGCTGTTCAGAATGGCTGGCAGCTCCCTCTAGTGACCCGAGCAGGGTGAGAGAGACCTCGTGTGCTCCCGGCCCCAGGACTTGATTAACCTGGGGCGCGTGCACAAACTCTCTTGCCCCCCAGGGACGCACGGCCCTGAGCAACGCATGGAGGGAACCCCTGTGGCTGGGGCTCCTGCAGGACGGCGCCTCCCTCAGGGACCCTGTTGGGCTGCTGGCCGGGAGCCGTCTGAGGTAAATGACTCCCAGCCAGAGCCTGCCTCCGGCACCTCAGCCCCTCCCACTGCTGTGTGCCCCAGATCATCACCTCCCTCTGCCCTAGGTTACCACCCGACTCCTCTGCACACCGCCCCAGATCACAGTGCCCTCCCAGACCCTGCACCCCTGCTACACCCCCGCCCCGGTCAATCATAGAACCATAGAGCTGGAAGAGACCTCAGAAGGTCAAGTCCAGCCCCCTGCTCTAGGCAGGACCAACCCAACTAAATCAACCCAGCCAGGACTTTGTCAAGCCGAGACTTAAACACCTCTAGAGATGGAGACTCCACTACTTCCCTAGGGAACCCATCCCAGTGCTTCACTACCCTCCTAGTGAAATAGTTTTTCTTAATATCCAACCTGGACCTCTCCCACCGCAACCTGAGCCCATTGCTCCTTGTTCTGCCACCTGTCACTACTGAGAACAGCCTCTCTCCAGCCTCTTTGGAACCCCCTTCAGGAAGTTGAAGGCTGCTATTAAATCACCACTCACTCTTCGCTTCTGCAGACTAAACAGACCCAACTCCCTTAGCTGCTCCTCATAGGTCATGTGCTCCAGCCCCCAAATCATTTTGGCCGCCTTCCGCTGGACCCTCTCCAATGCGTCCACATCCTTTACATAGTGGGGGGCCCAGAACAGGACACAATACTCCAGATGTGAAGTCAAAACTCAGTCCTGCACCCCTACTCCCTCCTGGACCCAGCACCCCAATCCTCTGCCCAAGGTCACAACCTCCTACTTCACTTCAGCTCCCTCTCAGACCCCGCACTCTCTCCTGCACCCCAATACCCTGCCCTGAGCCCCCTTCTGCACCCACCCTCCATCCCAGACCCCGCAGCCTCTTCATAGAGGAGTGGGGCCCTTGATCACTTTCCAAAGTCTTGGTGTGGCCCACCATCAAAAATTATTGCCCATTGCTAGTCTAGGGAGAATCTCTCTGGCTGCCTGGAGCAAGCAGAGGTGGGTTGTTTTATTGGGGCCTTCCCCTATCCCGCCCCGCTCCGCCCCTGCTCCTTTGCTTCCCCCAAGGTCTCGCCTCCTGGCTTGGCCGGAAGCCAGGGCTATGGGAAGAGCTGTCCAGGAATCCCTGGGCCGGCGGTGCACCCTGGGGCACCCTACTCTTGGGCACCTGCCCAGCGCAGCTCGAGGTCGGGTTGCTGCAAATGGTGTCCTGTCGTGGGAGTTGTCAGCTCCAGGCGAGGGCCACAGGTTGTCCACGACTGCCCAGGCTTTTACCAGCACTGGGACCAGGCTCCCCCAACTATGGGGTGTGGCTCCCTAAGGTGGTATGAAGGGACATCCAGGGTGGGGGTGCATTGACGTGGCGGGAGTCAGTCCACCTTACCCTGCTCTGCTCCCTCGTGTGCTCTGGCTCCACCCGGCTCTGCCTTTGTCCCAGCCGTGGCTCTGCTCCTTGGCCCCACTGTAACCCCAGCTCTGGGGGTGGGCAGGCATGGACCAGGAAAGGGAGGGACACGATTGGAAAAGTTTGGGGACACCTGGCCAGGGTGACTGTTTTGTCAAAACCGGGCATTTGTCGTGTTTGCTCTTGTCAGTTGATCTCCAGTTGGAAGAGCAAATGGTACAAAGGCCAGATATGATGAATTCTGGTTCATCGTCACCTGCCCGTCTCAGTGAATTTACTATTGACTGAAAAACTAAATCATCCACCGCTACTTCTCAGGGCAGATCTGGTGCCAAAAGCAGGTTACACCATCAGGGATGTTCTAAGGCAGTTTCTGGAGTCCCTGAGTTGGGAACTAACCCCTAAAGTGACACTGAACAAAGAACAAAACTGACACGAGAAGAGACGTTTCACTCGCTTGGGAACAGACAGCTTCTCCTATCCCAACTGGCCCACATCTCTTCCCCATGTAAACCCCACGGCCAGGAACTTCTGAGGAGAAAGAGCTCTCGTCCCTCACACAGCTTCACAGCTTCACTTACCCACAATTCCTCTCGTGGCTCTTGGGAGGTCACCCTAAGTACCAAGGACTTGGATTTTGGAGGGCAGGAGCGGTGGATTTAGGGCAGGGCGAGCGGGGTGGCTGCCCCAGGCCCTGCGCATGTGCTGTGTCAAAGGAGGGGTCCTGTGGCGCTCTCATCCACCCCTGGAGGGCAGTGAGCTCCTCTGAGAGGCTTTTCAGGAGGAAAGAGGTTCTTTATAAGCAGCGGGATCCAGTAGATATAGTGTACTTAGATTTCCAGAAAGCCTTTGACAAGGTCCCTCACCAAAGGCTCTTAAGCAAAGTAAGTTGTCATGGGATAAGAGGGACGGTCTTTTCATGGATTGATAACTGGTTAAAAGACAAGAAACAAAGGGTAGGAATAAATGGTAATTTTTTGAATGGAGAGAGGTAACTAGGGGATCCCCCAAGGGTCTGTCCTGGGACCAATCCTATTCAACTTATTTATATATAAGGAAAAGTTCCTAACTGTCAGGGTGGTGAAACACTGGAATAAATTGCCCAGGGAGGTTGTGGACTCTGCATCTCTGGAGATATTTAAGAGTAGGTTAGATAAATGTCTATCAGGGATGGTCTAGACAGTGCTGGGTCCTGCCATGAGGGCAGGGGACTGGACTCAATGACCTCTCAAGGTCCTTTCCAGTCCTAGTATTCTATGATTCTAAGATTCTATGATAAATGATCTAGAGAATGGGGTAAACAGTGAGGTGGCAAAATTTGCAGATGATACCAAACTGCTCCAGGTAGTTAAGACCAAAGCAGACTGTGAAGAGCTTAAAAAAGATCTCACCAAACTAAGTGATTGGGCAACAAAATGGCAAACGAAATTTAATGTTGATAAATGTAAAGCAGTGCACATTGGAAAAAATAATCCAACTATACGTACAATATAATGGGGACTAATTTAGCTACAACCACTCAAGAGAGAGAGAGAGAGAGATTTTGGAGTCATTATGGATTGTTCTCTGAAAACATCTCAGTGTGCAATGGCAGTCAAAAAAGCAAATAGCATGTTAGGAATAATTTAAAAGGGGATAGAGAATAAGACAGAGAATATCTTATTGCCTGTCTATAAAACCATGGTACACCCACATCTTGAATACTGCGTATAGATGTGGTCGCCTCATCTCAAAAAAGATAAATTGACATTGGAAAAGGTTCAGAAAAGGGCAACAAAAATGATTTAAGAGTTTGGAACGGGTCACATATGAAGAGAGATTAAGAAGACTTGGACTTTTCAGCTTAGAAAAGAGATAAAGGGGGATATGATAGAGGTCTATAAAATCATGACTGGTGTGGAGAAAGTGAATAAGGAAAAGTTATTTACTTATTCCCATAATATATGAACTAGGGATCATCAAATGAAATTACTAGGCAGTAGGTTTAAAACAAACAAAAGGAAGTTTTTCTTCACTCAGCACACAGTCAACCTGTGGAACTCCTTGCCAGAGGATGTGGTGAAGGCTAGGACTTGAGCAGGGTTCAAAAAAGAGCTAAACAGATTCATGGGGGTTAGGTCCATCAATGGCTATTAGCCAGGATGGGTAGGAATGGTGTCCCTGGTCTCTGTTTGTCTGGAAATGGATGAGAGGAGAGGGATCGTGTGATGATTCCTGTTGTTCCCTTCCTCTGGGGCACATGGTGCTGGCCACTGGGCTAGATAGACCTTTGGTCTGACCCCGTCTGTCTGTCCATATATTCTAAACAGATTCTGTAAAGTGGGCAAGGAAGCCTTGGCTGTGAAATGGGCCATAGACGCTTGAGATATTATTTGTTGGGGAATGCCGTTGTATTAGTTTCAGACCATGCCCCGCTGTGCTGGGTTCACCAGATGAAGGAAACCAGTCCACGAATAATGTGTTCGCACCTGTTGCTGCAACCGTATGTTTTCCAGGTGTGAGACCGTCTGGGGAAAGCACATAAAAGCGCCAATGTTTTTTCCTCAGACGGGGGCAGGGAACACAATGGTGGGCCCACTCTTAAAGGGGAGGGTGTTTGATGGGGGAGCAGGAGGAGATTAACTTGGCCCTGAGAGCTGAGAAGGCCACACTCCCTTTACCTTACTGGGCATGCTCAGGTTGCACGACTATAAAAGAGAGCAGCTCAGCTCAGTTGGGGCTGGCAGCTGGAGGGAGAGGATGTGCCTGGCCAGCTCTCTGCAAACCCCAGCGACTGCCTGAACGCCAAGACGCTACCATGCAGGCTGGAGACCCAACCCATCTAGAGACTGTGCGGGTTCCAGAAGCAATTGGAAGGAGTCAGATCTCAGAGGAAGGAGAGGAGCTGGAGTCACCAACGAATAGAGACATTTGAAGCAGGAAGTAACCCAGGGATGGCGACAGCTACAAGGTGAATGAGCCGCCATCGGAGTCAGTGTCTTGCGGCTGTCATTTCCCGCCGACTCAGTGACTAGAGCAAGCCACTAACAGGGCCCTGGGCTGAGGTCTAGTGGAGTGGGAGGGCCTGGACACCCCTGCTGGGGGATGTAAACCTTTCCCCTATCTACTGCCCCTGAAATAGACTGACCATTGGGTTGCAGTGGGACTATTGAACGGTGCTGCCCAGCCAATAGGGACGAGAGAGAGATTCTGACCAGGGGACTAAGGGAAGGAGTAGACAGATGTTGGGTGTGTGAGATGAGAGACACGGGTTGGGGAGAAAAGGGGGAATGCAAGCATGACAGGCGTGAATAACACCCTCAACCTGCTCTGGACGGGGTCTTCGCCTCAGCTGTGTGACATGGGGGTGTGACAAGGTGAGATGTAATCAGAAGCTCTCCACACCCAGAATTTCTGGGGCCTAGTGGTCTTGGACATGGTCCGTGGCTCCCTCTTGCCGGACTTGGACTTCCTGAGGGCTGCTCACGATCACTGGGTGGCCTGGGAGACCTGAGCCGGGCAGCAGGCGGCAGCCTGTTTTCCTTAACTCAGAAGCAGGCCCCAGCAGATCCGCGGCAGCGTTAACCCTCCCGCAGGGCCGTCCGGTCCGTGGTCATGACTCATTAGAGAAAGGGAACAATCACTTTTTATTTTAATGGGCGGCTTGGGAACCTCTGGCTGGGAGAAACTAGCCCCCAGCTCTTCCCCCCCCAGGCCCTGCCCTTCCGTGTGCTTCCCCATCACAGCTTCCCCAGCCCCAGAAGGGAGAGCACACGGCAATGCCACTGCAGCCTCTTCCCCCCGCCCAGCCCTGGAGCACGAGCACGCCGTGACACAACTGCACCCGCCCTAGCCCAGGGAAGACAAAGCCCGGCCCCAGCGGCACTGCCGAAATGGGGCCCTGAGGGCAGAGTGTGGGCAGGGCCACGCCTGGTTGTTTGGGGAGGCTCAGCCTCCCCCAGACTCCCCTGCTTGCTGCCCACATTCATCCTGTCCTTTGAATGTTGTGTGATTGGAGCCAAACTGTTTTGTTCACATTGCCTCCACCTTTCTCCCATTGAATGTCATGAGCCAGACGTGTTTTGCTGTTTCTAGTTTTATAAGCTTCCAAGGGGGAGCTGAGTTAGTCTGTAACAGGAAAAACAAGGAATAGTCTAGAATCATAGAGCTGGAAGAGCAGCGGCGGTCAAAAAGGCAAATAGGATGCTAGGAATTATTAAGAAAGGGATAGAAAATAAGACACAGAATATCTTACTGCCCCTGTATAAAACTATGGTACGCCCACATCTGGAATACTGTGTACAGATGTGGTCTCTGCACCTCAAAAAAGATATTTTGGCCTTGGAAAGGGTTCAGAAAAGGGCAACTAAAATGATTAGCGGTTTGGAACGGGTCCCATATGGGGAGAGGTTAAAGCAACTGGGACTTTTCAGTTCAGAAAAGAGGAGACTGAGGGGGGATATGATAGAGGTCTATAAAATCACGAGTGGTGTGGAGAGGGCCGATAAAGAAAAGTTATTTATTAGTTCTCTAAATAGAAGAACTGGAAGACACCAAATGAAATTAATGGGGAGCAGGTTTAAAACTAATAAAAGAAAGTTCTTCTTCACACAGCGTGTAGTCAACCTGTGGAACTCCTTGCCAGAGGAGGCTGTGAAGGCTAGGACTATAACACTTTAAAGAGAAGCTAGATAATTTCATGGAGGTTAGATCCATAAAAGGCTATTAGCCAGGGGATAAAATGGTGTCCCTGGCTTTTGTCAGAGGCTGGAGAGGGATGACAGGAGACAAATTGCTTGATCATTGTCTTCAGTCCACCCTCTCTGGGGCACCTGGTGCTGGCCACTATCGGCAGACAGGATACTGGGCTAGATGGACCTTTGGTCTGACCCAGTACGGCCGTTCTTATGTTCTTATGTAAGAGACCTCAGGAGGTCAGCAAGTCCAGCCCCCTGCCCAAGGCAGGACCAATCCCAACAAAGAAAAAATAGTGAATTTTTTTGTTGATTTCACCAACCAAACAATGGGTATTTATAAGAGGGAAATTGTTCTTATCAGCGTCTTGTAACTTGAAACAATCTAATTCATGAATTTTTTCTCTTTTTTTTTTTCTTCCCTCCCTCCTTTTTCCCCCCACCCAGGGGCGGATATAGGGCAGGGCAAACAGGGCGGCTGCCCCGGGCCCCGCGCTTAAAAAAGCCCCGCACACGTGCTGTGGCAAAAGGGGGCCCCGTGGAGTTATGCTGCCTGGGGCTCAGCAAAACGGTCATCTGCCCCTGCCCCCACCTTCCCTTATTTATTCTTGGATTTGGACTTTTAATACTCCATTCATCTGAAGAAGTGGGTTGTGCCCACAAAAGCTCATGATACAATCTACATGTTGTTAGTCTTTAAGGTGCTGCTAGCCAAGGGGTGGGCAATAATTTTTGACTGGGGGCCACTTCAGAATTTTGTGAAGTACCCTGGTCTGCCCTGGAAGAGTGGGCGGGGCCGGGATTCTTCCTGCTTTCCTGCTCACAGACCCTGATTGGTCTGGGGATGGGTGAGCATGTGAAGCCTTTTCCCCCATACCCCAAGAGAGAACCACCAGCTGTTCTGAACAGCTGGTGGTTCCCTCTAAGTGCCTGTGCCACTCTGGTGGTTCCCTCTAAGTGCCTGTGCCACTGGCCGTGGGAGGAGACTTCGTGTGCTCCTGTCCCCAGGCCATTCAGAGCCTGGGGGTGGGGGAAGCACACAGTCTCCTGCCACCCCACGCTGTTCCTGCAAGGAGCATGTGGCACTTCTGAGCAGCGCATGCTCCCTGCAGAACAGGAGCAGGGCAGGAGGAGACTTTGTGCGCTCCCCTCCACGCCCAAGCCCTGATTGGCCTGGAGCAGAGGGGGAGCGCAGAATCTCTCGCTCCCTGCCCTCAGGCGCATGTGGCTTAGAATCAACTGCCAGGGTTGACTCTAACCACTGCACGCTCCCCGGTACCTACGCCCTGATTGGCCTGAGGCGGGGGAGCTGCAGGGCCTCTGCAGGCCGGATCAACCCACTTGGCAGGCTGGATCTGGCCCACGGAGGCTCTTTTGCTCACCCCTGTGCTAGACTATTCATTGTTTTTTAACCTCTTCTGGTTTCATATGTTTCTTGTAACTGGTGGGGGATTTAAAACTCTGAGGCTCAATGAACTGAGCCTGAGGCTTTGGTAATTCGGAGTTTCTCCTTTGTGTGTTTCTGTTGCAGCCACAGAATTGTGGTATTGAAGTGTAGTTGAAATGTGGAGTTTTAATCATTCGTTTTAGCTTGGTATGATGTAATATGCCTTGGTGAGTCCTGCCGGCCACCCTTTCTAAGTAGCAGAACATGGCCGTGGTAGAGATGCCTCAGGCTGTCTGTGTCTGTCACTGATGTAAAGATGGGAACAGACCAGAAGAGTTCTCGTGACTCACTGTGCTCACCCTTTTGCCCTTAAAATGTAAGATTTAAGAAGGCTTCTATTAGATTTTTAATGTGGAAAATTCTGTAACAATTAGCGAGAATGTTCTGTGCGGTCTTTATGAAAGAAACGATGTAATCCTCGTTTGTGCGAGTGAGGAATGCACGCACGGGAAAAGATAAGAGTGAAGGCCATTACGGCATCCAGCTGGCCAAAGGAGGGGCCGGAAACTCAGGGCCACCAAGAGACTATTAAATGCACCCACTGTACCTAATGAGTAACAAGGGGCAGATTGATGACCCTGAAGCACCCCCGGAGTTTTAAAATAACAAAATAGAAAAGACCAGAATGTGCCAACGCTCAGAAAAATACATCAAAATCCTAATGTAGCATGACAATGAAAACAATCTTAAAATGAACATTTGCGGCAAAGTAATTAATGACAATAGAATGCTGCAAAACTCAGACCCGCATAAAAACATGTATGAAAGATGGGGTGTCTTCTATGGAACTTTGGGATTCTTTCTGTAAAACACAGGACATCAGATCATGATCGATAGAACCCGGCATCTCTACTTAGGCTCAACTTACCTGGCCATTAGATTGGTCCGAGCCACAGAACAGGAATTATCCCACCTTTCATACTTAACAGCATCACTTTTGTTCCTTAATAAACCCAGTGTAACTAATTTTTGTCTGGGGGGAGGAGGCAAGGAGTCTGTGCACCTCTCTTATAGTGAGACAGGGTGAATTTCATGAGGTTGTCCTGCACAGAGCTGTACACAGCCTGAGATGGATTTCTCTAGGATTCAGTGCCCAGAGAGACTGTGTACTTGAGTGCCTGGAAAATGTCTCACAGTGCATCTGTGCTGAACAGGCTGAAGAACTGGGCTCAGCAAGACGGGGTTAAAGGGTGCCCAGGCTGTCAGGGAAAGCAGGCTTAGTGGGAATCAGCACGTCAGGTGACAATTCGGAGGGGTCCCTGACCACCCACAACTAGCACTCCAAGTTTCTGGGGATTCAGATGGATTTAGTTTGTCAATATATTCAAGAGATTAGATGTATCTGAACCCAAACCTTATTGTCCTGTTAACCACACGGTAGAAGGGTTACATGCAAAGGGGCTTGTCTTCAAATTAAGCAAACTGGACTTCATTCAAAGCACAGTCACATCCTCATTGGTCCGTGTCCGTCGGCTTGCAAAGCAGTAACCAGTCACCGTGCCACCCACTGGGAACTGGATAAAAGCGGCTGGACACCCACAGACCGGCCCAAGACGGGATAACAAGGCTGTAGCGGTTGAAGCTCCTGGAAGAGAACTGGAGTTTCTACCTGTCTCCCAAAGCCGGTGACGGCAGGTGCCCAGGTGAGCTGGTGAGTCCCTCTTCCCTTCTGCCCCAGCTGATCAGTGGACTTTTATACCTGCCTTTGCCTCCTGCCAGGCGAGGCCATGGCCCCTCTGACTTAAAGCCCTTCCAGAGACACTCCCTCGATACAGCGAGGGTGCGATTCACCCCAGTGCCATTGGCAAAAGAGCCAGGCTCCGGCGGAGTCCTCAGATGAGGGTGGAAGTGGGGCTGGAAGGGTGAGCGGGCATCCGCCCCAGGGAAGTCCTCTGGAAGTGAGGTAGATACAGGCTTTTCAACTGATCTTCCATTGATCTGGTGCATTTCAGTTATTCCACTCAGGACCCACTCACACCACCCCAGATAGTTAGGGGGCCAGCCCCTCATGTCTCCTGCTCTGTCCAACAGCTGCTTTTTAATCCTTTGTGCCCACTGGGTAGCAATCCCATAAGAACATAAGAACGGCCGTACTGGGTCAGAGCAAAGGTCCATCTAGCCCAGTATCCTGTCTGCCGACAGTGGCCAGCACCCGGTGCCCCAGAGGGGGTGGACCGAAGACAATGATCAAGCGATTTGTCTCCTGCCATCCCTCTCCAGCCTCTGACAAACAGAGGTCAAGGACACCATTTTATCCCCTGGCTAATAGCCTTTTATGGACCTAACCTCCATGAAATTATCTAGCTTCTCTTTAAACTCTATTATAGTCCTAGCCTTCACAGCCTCCTCTGGCAAGGAGTTCCACAGGTTGACTACACGCTGTGTGAAGAAGAACTTTCTTTTATTAGTTTTAAACCTGCTACCCATTAATTTCATTTGGTGTCCTCTAGTTCTTCTATTATGGAAACTAATAAATAACTTTTTTTTTATTGGCCCTCTCCACCCCACTCATGATTTTATAGACCTCTATCATATCCCCCCTCAGTCTCCTCTTTTCTAAACTGAAAAGTCCCAGTCTCTTTAACCTCTCCTCATATCGAATTCTGGTCCTAAGTCTATGAAGTATATGAAATAGAAATCATTTTGACAACTGCCTTGATTAAAAAACTGAAATAAAGATGTATCAACCACTGATATTAATCAGGATAGTTATTAAGTGTCAATTAGTGTGTTTGTAATTAATACCTAATGAATTTACTCCTAGCTGTCTCCTTAAAAAGTCAATTAAATGCTTGAACAGATATTCCATATTTAATAAACTAATAAAAATGATTCATTTATAGCATGATAATTACCCAGCAGCTGTTCTTATTTCTAATAATTTTATTAAATCTCAGAAATCCATTTTAACAATTTAATATTTAAAAGGCATCATAGTGAAATTAAATGTTCATTTATAGTGTTATGAGTTGTTTTTTTAATCATTTTTCCCTTGCACTTGCCCAAATTCTGTCTGTAACACATATACAACTTCACTGCAATTGCATATGTGTGAGTTAACTTGGGACATGATTCTCCTTTGCCTGGCGCTTAGTTTAGTGATTTTCATTGGTGTAAAATACTACCATTTAGCTTTAATATTGTTTTATATCCAGTCTTCACAAGGCTAAATGAAAAGCCAAGATGTAAGGCAGAACAGAATAATGGCATTGCCTTCTGAGAACCTCCATGTCCTCTTTCAACCATTATAGGGCACTCTCAGATCTATGAAAAAAGTAATATGTGACAAGGCCCTCTCCTTATATTTTATGGGAAAAATATATCAATTAAATTTAATTGCTACCTAGTTAATCCATCTAATAATATAATTGATTTTTTTCTTGCCCTGGTTGTATATGTTATAATTGGGGCATACAATTGTTGTAAAAGTGTGGTAACATATTTTATCTTGTTTAGTAGTGTACAGAGTATGAGGAATTCATAAAATATTCATAAGCCAATCTTGTGTTAGTTAATAAGGTATGGATAAAATATAAGTTCTTCTTCACACAGCGTGTAGTCAACCTGTGGAACTCCTTGCCAGAGGAGGCTGTGAAGGCTAGGACTATAATAGAGTTTAAAGAGAAGCTAGATAATTTCATGGAGGTTAGGTCCATAAAAGGCTATTAGCCAGGGGATAAAATGGTGTCCTTGGCCTCTGTTTTTCAGAGGTTGGAGAGAGATGGCAGGAGACAAATCGCTCGATCATTGTCTTTGGTCCACCCTCTCTGGGGCACCTGGTGCTAGCCACTGTCGGTAGACAGGATACTGGGCTAGAAGGACCTTTGGTCTGACCCAGTACGGCCGTTCTTATGTTCTTATCACTTCCTTTGATCTGAGGAAGTGGGGCTGTCCCACGAAAGCTCATCACCTAGTAAACCATCTTGTTAGTCTTTAAAGTGCTGCATAGTCCTGTCTTTTCTTAGGGGTACTTGAGAGAAGTCTGTGGGGGATATGTCAACACAACTGAAATTTGGAGAAAACTGAATATTTGTTTTAAATTTTACAGCGGTTTATTAATTTTGTACTTTTTATCCCCAAAACTTTCATTGCCTACCTGGCTATGATTAAGTTGTTTAAACAAATGCGTTGCAATGGTAGAAAAAATTTGTGTGTCTGAAAACTGGAGGTACTTAGATTTTTTTTTAAAGGGGTACTTTACAAAAAAAGGTTGAGAAACACTGGCCTACAGTAGTGAATGCTGGAGTAAAGGAAATAGATTGAGAAGTTAAAACTGGAAAATAACAAGTTAAAAAGAAAAGTTAGATGTTTTCAAGATGCCAGGGTGTGATGAAATGTATCCTGGAATACTTAAGGAGCTGATTGAGGAGGTATCTGAGCCATTATCTATCATCCTTGGAAAATCATGGAAGAAGGGAGAGATTCCAGAAGACTGGAAAAGGGCAATTATAGTGGTCATCTATAAAAAGGGAAATAACGACAACCCAGGATTCTACAGAGCAGTTTAGCTTAACTTAAAGGAATCTCTTTGCAAACATTTGGAAGATAAAAATGTGATAAGTAATGGTGGATTTGTCAAGAACAAATCTTGTCAAACCAACCTGATAGCTTTCTTTGATAGGATAACGAGTCTTGTGGAAAAGGGGGAAGCGGTAGATATGGTATCCCTGGACTTGAGTAAAGTATTTGATACAATCCTGCATGAGCTTCTTAGAAATAAACTAGGGAGATACAGTCTAGATGGGGTTACTATAAGGTGGGTGCATAACTGGTTGGATAGCTGTTCCCAGAGAGTAGTTATCGATGGTTCACAGTCATGTTGGAAGGGCATAACAAGTGGGCTTCCACAGAGATCAGTTTTGGTACCAGTTCTATTCAATAACTTCATCAACAATTGAGATGATGGCATAGAGCCGCGTTTCTCAAACTGTGGGTCCTGACCCCCCGGAGGGTCCTGAGCAACTTAGAGGGCGGGTCACAAAGTTTGAGAACCACTGGCATAGAGAATGCTTATCAAGTTTGCAGATGATACCAAGACGAGAGAGGTTGCAAGTGCTCTGGAGGATAGGATTACAGTTCATAATGATCTGGACAAACTGGAGCAATGGTCTGACGTAAACAGGATGAAGTTTAATAAGGACAAATGCAAAGTGCTCCACTTAGGAAGAAACAATCAGTTTCACACACATAGAATGGGAAGGGACTGTCTGGGAAGGAGTCCTGCCGAAGGAGATCTAGGGGTCATTAGTATGAGCTTATAGTGTGAAACGGTTGCAAAAAGAAAAAGCAAATATCATTCTTGGATACATTAACAGGAGTGTTGTAAACAAGGCAAGAGAAGTCATTCTTGCCTTCTCCTCTATGCTGATTAGGCCTCAGTTGGAGTATTGTGTCCAAATCTGGGTGCCACATTTCAGTAAAGACATGGAGAAACTGGAGAAGAACAATAAAAATGATTGAAGTTCTAGAAAACATGGCCTGTGAGGGTAGATAAGAAGAACTGAGAAGCACTGGGTTTGTTTAGAGTGGAAATAGACTGAGAGGGGACATGGTAACAGCTTTCAAGTACCTAAAATTATGTTACAAGGAGGAGGGAGAAAAATTAAGCTGCTTAACCTTTGATGATAGGACAAGAAGCAATGGGCTTAAATTGCAGGAAGGGAGGCTTAGGTTGGACATTAGGAAAAACTTCCTACCTGTCAGGATGGTTAAATATTGGAATAAATTGCCTGGGGAGGTTGTGGATTATCCAACAGTGGAGATATTTAAGAGCAAGTTAGACAGACATTTGTCAGGGATGGTCTAGATAGTGCTTTGTCCTGCCATGAGTGCTGGAGACTGGACTTGATGACCTCTCAACGTCTTGTATGCTATGATGCTACAGTTCTATATTTAATCCTAGGTGTGAATGTGCTGGGTTTTCAAAGTTTATTATTTGCCTTTTTACAAAACTTCTGAAATGTACTTTACCTAAATAACTAACGTGTGCTCTCAACCCTAACTATACTAGCTGTACTTCTAATAACAGATGAATTTCCGGAGAAACTAGAAAGACTTGACTAAAGAGTCTCAACTTTAACTTTCGAATGCTCTTTGGCTGAACGTTTCTGAGAATCCCATAATTTGATTGGTGTACAAAGCCTGATTGCCCCATGGAGAAGGACCCGAATGGAAGGATCTAGACTCTTAGGGTGTGTCTACACTGCACCCGTAGGTTGGACATGCATTTGGGGAGCCGGTGGGGGGAAATGCATGTAGTTGGTTATCAGTTAATTGTGTAGGGATGTCAAAGTGTAGTCGACTACACAATGAACCAGTAACCAACTACATGCATTTCCCTTCCCCACTCGGTGTCTTTGTTTCAGAGGCAGCAAAGGCAGGAGGAGGAAGCTGGTGCCTGTGGGGAGCTGGCTTTTTAGCTGGCTCCCCATGAGCACTAGATCCTGTGGAGCCACCTGACCCCTTCCCCACCTCCGTGCTGCTCCCTCTAGTAGAGAGGCAGCAGCGTGGAGGGTGAAGGGTGCAGGCAGGAACCAATACATGCGGGGAGCCAAGTTTTAAGCCAGCTTCCCCCATGTGCCTGTTCCTAAGGGCTGCCTTCCCTCTCTTACTGCCTCCCAGAGAGGGAGAGGGGGCCAAGCAGGAGCCATTGCTCTGTGAGAGACGAGTTAAGAGGATTCCCCACAAGCAACAGCTCTACAGAGCTACCTGCCCTGCCTCCCTGAGTTGCTGCCCCTATCACAG